TTATACTCCTCCGGTTATTCCGTCACACCTTACCGTTCTAGCAACAGGCCAATAGGATTGGAGTGATTTCATTCACGTTCAGACCTGCTTCGCCTAGAGGCGTTCCCATAGTGTCGTAACCGACGCAGTTCGAGTTCCCTCGAAGGGGAACTCACTATTTAGCGTCGTAAAATGAGCAAAGTCTTTCACGTTGTCTCTTTTTTTTACACTGTCATTTGAAACATTGCTTTTCTCAAAATATTGATTATAGCCACTTTGAGGCTCTTGATAGCCTGACTCTGTGCTATATTTCTGCTTTTTTAATGCCATACAAGCCTGTAGTTTTAGGGTCCACAGTTTTGGTTTGTTCTCAGCGATCTCATCAACCTCGTTTCCAGCAGAAGGCAGCGGTTTCCCTTTGGAAAAACACAAATGCATGAATATCACACACACACATGCACATAAGCAGGAGGAAGAGATACAAACACAAACATTTCTATATATTAGTCCACTGTTTTTAGTTGCACTTTGGTTCTTTGTTGGGACAATTTTATTGAACTATGAAACGACACTTTGGTGTTTTTCCAAATAAACAGTTCACACCACTCAGATTTGTTTTTGTACCCGACGTTGGAAACTGTAGGAGGCCTTACAGGAGACTCATTGTCCCAGACATCCTCCACTCATCACGTTTGATGTGTTTACTGTAATTTATTTTTAATTGTTGCTGCAGCAGTTTGTTTCAGTTGACATTTTCTTTTTCTTCAGGCTGTTTGATGTCACTGGTATCTTCTTTATCACTTCTCAGAAACTGTTTCATGTTCACTATTCTCACCTATTCAGTAACCCACAGAAGATATAAATTGAACCACAACTTTTTTTTCAAAAAGCCAATGAACAAGAACAGGTAGAAAAAGTATCCTGCCACAGTACTATTCAGGGCTTTTTATTTGTCTCTTCATGTCTAATTTCTTGGCATCTGATAAATTTTCATGGGAGTTCATGGGCTGAATTCTTTGATCATTTTCAGTGTCTGTGTCCTAGTTAAACACCACATACTAGTATATAGATGAAGAAAGATGAAGGAGCCTGGACCTGCTAAACATTTAAAATTTTAAATCATGAATAAAAAATGCTAATCTACCGTTTGAAGGATAAGGCTGGCATGATTCAATTTTGTTTTTTATTTGTTTTAATATATAATTTGTCTCATTAATTTACTTAAACAGTTTTTAGGAAATGTAACTGAAACTGATGTTAAAAGTGAATTTGTTGGGGACTATTTTCAGTGGCAGATTAATACTGATTAGGTTCTCTAGTTAGTAATTACAGCAGCAGGACGGGGTATGTGGGACTGAGTCAAATTAAACTACATTGTGTGTGTTCTTAGTGATGAGGGACCATGTCAGCCAGTGCAATAGTGTGGAACACTGATGTGTTTTTTAGGAGTTTTTGGACAATAATGGAGCTCTATGGCACAGAGGAATATATGCTGTGCTCAACTTCGGAAAGGCATTGGAGTCATGGAGAGATCTCCGCTTTGTTTTGAAGATAAAAACCGATCCAGTGTTGGCTATCACGGAATGGTGCGCTAACAGTACTACACTGCATGTGAAATATATTGTGATTTTATGTTTTAGTTGGATCAAGTTAGATAATGTTAGCTTGCCGGCTAGCGGCAATCAGTTGCTGATGTTACCCATTGCAAAAAACAGTAGTTGTATGGCTTGCCACATTACTTCACCAGCTAACGTGATCCATATTACTATCTTATGTAGTCTACTGGTAGTATGTCAAAGTGTTGATTTAGCCTGTAAGAAAATGATACATGAAATGAATCCAAAAGGCTATCTTCCATTCCAAAAAGTAGGTTCTTTAGAACATAATTTTGTTTTTGTAAGATCACTCCCAAACTCCACAATGATCAGTCTGCCCCTGACAGATACACAAATAGTTATTGAAAAGCAGGCAGGCGAGCACCGATGTATCATGTAGGCTAAATGCAGTCAATGTAGCGTAATCATGCAACGAGCATGGATTAGTTCAACGTAAAATAAAAATATTGCTGTAACGTTGTAAGTTTGTTGAGTTTCCAGAATTTTGTGTGACGTCTTCTGTATGTCTCTTTTTTTTAGCCGATGCCCAGAGTGCTCATTCATTAGTTTGAGCGCACGCAGGAGCACATGCTTGGAAACTTAGTGGTTGCAATCTGAAACCTCACCGCTAGAGGCCGCTGAAAACTACCCATGGCCCCTTTAAGAGTGTTATTGCCAGGTTCACAGACACACACACACACGCACATATGTAAACTTATACATATGTATACAAAAACATATATGTATATGTAAAAGCATATAAAGTTTAAAGAATGGCATGAAATTAAAGAATAGAATATGCAAGAACATCATTTATATTCTGTGACATTTGAAAAAAAAACAGAGGCATCTTTAACGACAAAAAACTTTATCTATAATATCTATATCTTCAATTAGTCGCAAAAACAGCTACGGTTCTCCAGGTTCATACAAGGCTGAGCAGGACGCTCCTGCCATGTTTCATGTGCAACATACCTCAGTGCGTTGGTAGAAGACGAACGCTTTGATCTTGGCGCATGTGTAATTGTAGGTTTGTGACTCTGAGGCCTCAGAACTCATCAAGCTGTCAGAGTTCAACATGTATGTACTATCAGAGCGATGACACATTGTGTTACTGTAATCAGGCGATGACAATGTGCGTGTGTAAACCCAGTGACTAAAGGTGTATACTAAATATAGTATAGAGTGTGTCTTCTGTGTGTTTGCTTGTTAAGGCAAACTCAGTGTCAAATGCATTAACTGACTATTACTGTATGACTCAAATGTCCATTTCTGTTCATGTATTTACATGTGGCTTACAAGTAATCTTAATTTACCTATTCTACTTACCTTATTCTGATTGATTGATTTAGGTTAATTAGAAATGTTACCAAAGCAGGAGCTACACAAACTTTATATAGACTTTATTTTTCCTACAGGATTGAGCGAGTACTCTGTTGAAACGAGTATTCAGTACACTCTCTAAATTCTTCCGTCTCACGGAGAAAAGAAGGGTCAGGTCACAAACATCTGTTATTATATTATGGGATTATTATTATAAAAAAAACCTGCCTGATACATTCACAGTCAACTTTTTACAAGTATGATTCTCAGAGTAAAATGTCAATATCGGTTTTCTGATAAACTGTAACTGGGTGGCTTCTGCTGCTTGTGACCACCTTACATTTAAGCAAGTATTTGTCCAGTATCTGTGAGTTTTTCCCTAAAAACAGCTGCCTGCTGCTGGAAACAAGTTTTAATGACTACGCTGACAATGAAATAGTAAATGTGCCGTAAAACCAACATTATGTTCTAAATAAGGCAAACAATTTCAGGGAAACTGCAGAGTTGGCGATGATTCTCTGTTGGTTTGTCACTACGAACGATTACTTTCACATACACATAGTCATCTAATCAATTGTTCATCATCATGGTACGTCAGGTAAACTTCTCTGTGTTTCGCAGTATACTGGAGTTTTTAAATCTGGTGACGACATTCCTGTGCTGGCACACTGGTAGTGATGGGTTTTACGCCAACCAGCAATGATTGCTTTGCCAAAGCTGAAGGAGGAGTGACCCCACGGTGACAAGAGAAACATAGAACTTTTTTGGAGAAAAGTAACAATGTGTTATGTTTCTGAGATGTGTAAGAGATCAAGCTGGTACATGTATGTTTGTGTTGTTCCTCTATTTGTCTGATTCTTGAGCATAAATCTAAAAATGTGTAGGTACAGTATCTGTGTGCACGTGTCTAGCTTTGTTCGTTAGTGTATATGTTACCAGCCCTGTATGTCAGTGTATCAGACATCAACACACACAGACAGACTCAGACACTTTATGAGCCAATCAAGTTTAATGACTCTGTAGTCTCAATGATGCTTTAAGTGCAAAATATAAATTACATGAGAATTCAGAGAATGTATATCTGTCTGATACAACCCACCGAACCCCCTTTTTTATTTATTCATTCAATTCCGCCACTTCAGTCTTATTTTCAAATTAAAGTCAGCATGATGTAAAACAAAATGTTTTTAAGACATCAATACTAAATGTATGAACAGCGATCTTGGCGGAGATTTTCATTCAGTTAAAGATGTGATAAGCTGGTGAACTTTGTGAATGGACTGTACAACTTAACAACAACAATAAAATGTGATCTAATGCAGTATTAAATTGTCATACAAGCTAAATAAAAAGCGCAAAACTGATAACTGAACTAAATACCATGATGTCCTGTATGCTTAACTTAATAAACTATTACACAGTAACAATTTGTTCAGTTTATACATTGCTTTTCCAAATATATCCACACATGTAGATGTACACACACACACACACACACACACACACCCACAATGTTCAGAAAATTACTCACATGCTTGGAAAAATAATAATATATATATAGACTTTTACACACCCAGAAAAAAAATGCTTCTCCTCCCCTTGTTCGACAGTTTAAGACAAATCAGTCTGGTGTTGCAGACAAATTCTCAATTATCCAGAAAGACCTCAGTCAGATGATTTTCTTCTGTCTGTGAGGAAGCTGAATCACTGTCCTACCACTGACACTATATGTTACTTTTTCCCCCCAGAGCCTGTCACTACATGTCCTTAAATTAACTTCATACACAACAAGAATGTGTGTGTGTGTGTGTGTGTGCATAAGAGAGAGGCTGACAAAGTTGCTTCTGTCTGAGCTGTAAATGTCTGCATGTCTTCATCCATGTATTTGTCTTTGCATTGTGTGTGTGTGTGTGTGTGTGCGTGCGCGTACGTGCGTTTGCCCCCACACCACCACAGCACCAACCACAGGAAGAGTGGGAGAGAGAGAGAGGAGAGGTGGACCACGGAGCGGTTAACCTCATGACATCACAAGCTCCGACCTGATTGGCTGCTGCCAGAGGCTGGAGGGTTTATAAGCCAAAGAGGAGCCTCGGTTTCAGCAGCAGCATCACTGAGCAGTGAACAACATCCAGGGAAACCCGGGAGATAAACTAAAGGCAAACCACGTCTGTCTGTTTCTGCTCCCCATTCGGCAGCCGCTAAACTCCTGAAGCTTCCTCCGTCTGCAAACAAGGTCAGAATAAATATATGACAAACTGAACCTTATATTTACTGTGTACGATGATTGGTTGGAACTTTTTCTGCAGCACTGGTGGTGTGATGGGAGGTGGGTATGCAGGACAATATTTGTAAAAGCTGCTGGAAATATGCTTTATTTACCCTAAAGAAAACAATTCAACATTTACAATATGTCTACGTTCTTTCATGCATTTGAAGTACACTATATGGCCAAAGGTATCTGGACACCCCTGTCTACATACTTTTGGCCTGGGTCTGTTATTCACTGTTTGGGCTGAGCCTCTTATAGTTCCAATGAAGGGAAATCTACAGGTACAGTATGCAGAGATATTTTAGTCAATAGTGTGCATCCATCGTGGAAAAGATTCTTCCCACAGTAGGGTTTGGTTATCCTCCATAAAAGCGCAGCAGTGTATTGCAGTTAATTACAAGTTCTTTTTTAAGACTTTATGGAGGTCCGCCTGGGATTGGTCAGAGGTGCAGCCAAGGGAGCTGTGTTTGATTGGCTGATTAGTATCACAGTGACTCTCCAGGGCAGGAAGGGGAAGCTGCGGGCAACAGGAAACAAACCTCTGGATTATGTATCACATGACCAGGACCAGGACGAACCACACAGAGTAAACACACACATATTGATTAACTACCAGCTCAGTCAACTACGTTTTTCTTTTTAACTTTAGCACTAAAGAGTTTTAAAGAAGATCTTTTTGTAGGTGTTTTGTTTTCCAAAGAAAGACCAAAGCCCAGCAGAGTTTCTGAGTTACAAAAGGTTCTGTTCTTCTATGGAAGTAAATAAGCACTAAACCCATTTGAGTGCTGTTCATTCTGCAAAGAATACCGTAGCAGAAGTATATAACTTCGTCTGAGATCTTCTCTCCCTTGTAACCTTCACTTTAGGCAATCTGTGTCCCCTTAGCACAAACTCAAACTGAGATCTGAGACTAAAGTGTTTGTTTTCACCTGGAAGTGAGGAAACATCCCGTTTAACTATTTGATGTCTGCTCGATTGAAAAATTCTAAATTAATAAATTCACAGTTCACATGTTTGCAATTAATTTTCAGTGTCGTAGTGATTCCCAAATCTTTTGGCTTGTATAGGAAAACTATGTCTACTCACAACCACTTGGCCGCTTCGTTATCAATAAGGTACTAGCAGTTCAACAAGATGATGTTCCTTTCTCAGGTTTCATGTCAATAGTTTTTAGAAGCACCAAGAGAGAAAACTATCCAGTATTTTATAATAAAGGTTAGAGAAAGTCTCTGGATGCCTGGCAAGTCTCCAGGAAATCAAAGCTCCTGGCAAAGAAATAATCTGAGCCATCACCCCTTGTAAAACCACAGCTAGCAGTTTAACACTTTGGGTTTCATATAACAAAAGAGACATGACATGTTAATTAGTGAGCTTTGGAGGGGCTGTTTGGCAGATGTGGTCACGTTTTAACATAACCAGGCTAACTGTTAACCGCTGTTTCCAGTCTTTATGCAAAGCTAAGCTAATTCCTTGCTAGCTTTAGTGTACATAAATGAGACTGGTATTGATCTTCTCTCAATTATTAAAACGGAAAACAAATCTGAAACTTAAATCGGTCCTCACAAAATAGACTTACACGAGCACACCAATGCAGATTCAATTCCTGCATCTGTTGGGAGGACTCATTGACATTTCCTAGACCCTAATCTTAGAATTATCCTAAACCAAATTCTAGCCTTAAGTCTAAAACCAAATCTTGATCTCCTTAAAGAGTCCTTAAAAGACCTGAGGCTTCTAAATATGTGTCCACTCTCCAAGCCTAAAACTCCTACCAGCCCTCACAAAGACAGACGTACAGAAATACACACATGCATACAGTCATATGGGCGTCTGTCATGTTTCTGCTGCACTGTGGCTTTCCAGTTATAACCTGGTGAATTACACAGTATAGGAAGAGTCCATCATTAAAGATAGAAGCAGACACACAGACTGGTCCTCCCACAGCATAGCTTGGTACAGTTAGGGAACAGAGAAAAAAAGAAATGTTTTAAAGCGGATGTTGAGGGATCCATAATACTGCCATTTTGCTGTTATTTCACTGTAAAAAGTACTTTAAACATCTACAGTTAAAGTTGCTGTTAGCTGTCAATAAATCCAGTGAAAAGACCAAAACCAACAATAACCTGATTCCAGTAACTAGTGTTGTGTCTACCCAAAGAGATATATCTTATTCCACTGTGCCATAGAGCTCCATTGTTGTCAAAAAACTATTAAAAAAACACCAGTGAGCCACACTGTTACACTGGCTGACATGTTAACTACACACATTGTAATTTATTTCAACTCCATCCCACATAAACTGTCCTGCTGCTCAAAATACCTTGAAATGTGTATTACTCCTCATTTGAAAATAGTCCCCAACAAATGCACTATTTACTCCTCTTTAAGGAAGTTTTTTTAAATGAGCCTAATTTGTGGGCAATGTTTTTTATGTTAACATCTTCAATAAAACCAATGAGCTTAGAGCTGAGAGTCACAGACAATTGCCTAAATGATATACTGACACTCATTTGTAGAAACATCTTGAAACAAGGCTCTGAGTTCGTGTGGATTTATGGCTGATTTGAAGATAATTGGCCTTAAGGCCTAAATGAGTTTGTCATGTTGTACAAATGTGAACTTAAATACTTAGAGAGTGCTTTACAGAATGATTGGTGGAAATGTAGACAGTATGATGCTGTTTTTTTCTCTTAATCTCCTTTCTTTCATCTCCTTTTAATATCATACCTCTTATTTTTTCACACCTTTTGGACCAGAAACAGCCAGAAACAGCCAGAAACATCCAGTCTCTGATGCTTGATACTGTATCGAAAGAGAGTTGTCAGGGACACTCAACCACTTGTCTGTAATTAAGGACTTAATGACTTCCTTTGACTTACCAAGGCCTCAGGAAGTGCCACTGCTAGTCATGTGACAATGCAGCCTCCATTTTTAGGAAGGAATCTGGGCGAGAGCATTTATTGACGAGACTTGCAGCTCATTTTCAGTTTGACAAGTCATTGTGTTTCCTGCGAAGTTATGGCATCCGGACGAGTATTTTGGTGTCGTACAAGCTCAACGTGTCATGATTAAGTTTTATTGTTTTATTGTGTTATACGATGATGTTTCATTGTGGGACTTGTGTGTTTCTGGTTTTCTTCCCATCCAGACACCAAACTGTGACACAATGAAAGTGGCCGTTGTTTTTGTTCTGCTCTTCGCCACAGTTCTCTGCCGGCCGGTCAGTCATTTTCCCTGTCAAGTCAAAAGTTTTCAACATTATTTTTGTCTTTTACGTACTTTCTTGCTGTCTGTTCAATTTCTATATATCTTTGTTTGCTTTTTAGGCGAGAAAACCTTCTGACAGCAGTTCAGAGAGCTCTGAGGAAGTGGTGAGTATCTGGGGAGAGAGAGACAGAGACAGAGAGAAGACTGACTTCCACAATAATTAATGTTGGTCTTGTCCACAGGTGAGACGACCAGCAGCTCAGCCCATCAGGAAACAGGCAGCAGTGGTTCCTCAGACCCGTGCAGCACCTGTACAGGTAAAATATTCCTTCACTTCATCCACTTGTTCTTGTTTCCATGCCATTTTGTTAATTCTCCCTTTTCTCCCCTCTGCTCGCCTGTTCTGAGTTGCATTATGGGAAATTTGTTTTTTGGAACTTGACCCATACTAGCAACTAAAACTCAGGATGTCTTTACCCCTGCTTCTTCTATTTGGACCTTTCCTTTTTTAAATATGTCTCATGTGAGTGCTCTAACTTTATGGAAGTGCAAAACTAAATCAAAGTACCTCTTCAAGTCCTGCATCAATACCTCATCCTGAGGCCCTGTCTTGTCAGCCAGTAAGGACCCAAAAGCCTATTTTTGCCCCCAAGGGCCCATAGACGGTTAATCCATGTTTCACTCTTCTGGGTAGAATCATCGTCAGGGCTCAGTCAGTTGACATTTACAGATTGACAGTGACTGGCAGGCCACAATTTGCTGTTGTCAATGGCTTAAAATCCAGCAACCCTGTTTCAAAAGCACACAAAACACAAAGTACATGTATGATGTGGCCCTACATATCCAAATGAAAGACATTTCGTGTTGTTATACCATCACAGTGTGGACTCCCTGATCACCTTAAGTGGAGTTCTTTGGATCTTAACATCTCAGAGACTGGAAATGATTAATGGGGAAAACTCCTCAATCTTTTTAAAGTTAGGAAAGACTCTAAGAGCTGTCACTCACTGAATTAGTCCTCACTACAATTTTGTTGAAAAGCAACCTTCTGTAACCTTCTGATTTATTTTGTAATGCAGCAAAGACAAAGAGCCATCCACTAATTAACTTTCTTTGACTGGCATTTGCCTGAGACATGAATGAAGCAGCAACAAAAAACAGTAAAAGGTAAAAAGAGGATTCATTATGTCTCTCTGATGTTGCAGAATGTTGTAGCAGCAGCAGCAGCAGCAGCAGCAGCAGGAGCTGCCGGCTCAGATGAGAGCACAGAGAGTTCAGATGAAGACAAGGTGACACATGTCAAATCAATAATTTAAATAAAAACAATATTTTATCAGGAGAACAATCAAGTTTTTATCTCTCTTTCTGGTGAAGTTTATGACTTTGTGCTTTAATGATTTTCGCAGCAGGCAGCAGCAGAGGCTCCAGTACAAGTAAGATCTGACAGCACGGACACAGCTTTGTCCTCAGACACAGCCTCTGTCAACAGCAAGGACAATGAAGACAGCAAGGATGATGATGATGATGACGATGAAGCAGAGGAGAATGTGAGTTAAAAACGCACTTTCTGTTTGTTGGTGGACAATGTTGGTGCCGCTGCTTAACATTTTAACATTTAAATGCCAGTAAAATGGTCTGTATATGTGTAGCCTACCGACCTTGAGACCAGATAATGCCCCAGACACTGTTTTGTTGCAGATGTTAGAGGTTTCTGATCTGTCAAAGTTTCAATTTTAATTTATCAACTATGAATTACTTCAGGCTTCACGCCAGAACCATCCATGTGTGTGGAAAAGCAAAAACAAAGCTTTAATTAGGACGGAAAGACATCAACAGCTAATGATTATTACAATTCAACCGAATTATTGTAAACAAAATGCTTCATCATCAACAAATACCAAAGGAAAAACAAAAACACAATGGAAAATACTACCAAATAAGTCTGAATTCATAACAGTAAGAAACGTAAGAAATGTAATAGATATCATTCTCAAGACTGTGTTAACTACTCAAATATTGTAGTCCTGCTAGAAATGGCCTTTTTATTTGTTTCCCACCTCTGTATCTCCAGGAGACCGAGGACAATGAATCCAGCGACAGCTCCGAGTCGGGCGAGTCGGGCGAGTCCTCCACCCCCGCTCCCACCACGGCCAACCCTGTGGTCGTCACAGATGGACCCGTGGCTGAAACCACTCCTGATCCCATCATGCCTACCATCGTCACCGACACGGACGAAGCCCGCGGTGACAACCTGGGAGGCTACCCCAGCGACTACAAGTCCATTGTTTACGTGGAGGACAAATCCGACCACAAGGTTCCTGCTCCCTACAAGTCCTACGAGCTCGTCGGCACAGGAAAGAAGATGGCCTATGACATGAAAGACGGCAATGAGGTGGAGAAGTCACTGCAGGTGTACAAGGTACAGGTTAGTTTGAGCTTCCTGAGAGTGGCCGTCAATAGAGTCCAAATTGAATTTAATTAAGCATTACGCTGCTGTAGAATGTGCTGTTGCAAGCAGCTACCACAACTGCATTTGTACCATTTTGGGACACATGGGTAGTGTTTACAAAATACTGACATAGAGCTGGTGCTTAAAAATGTAGCTAAACTCCAAACTTTTTCTCACTTCAATCTACAAAAGATACCAAAATGTAAAACAACAGTAGACATGTGCCTTTTACTTGTACTTCAGCTAACATTTTAAACTCCTTTTAGCACTTGCACCTTATGTGACACTGCTTGTACTCCTGCCGACACTTCAACTCCTTTCAGTTCTTGCTTACACATCAAGAGACGCTTTCAGTTTTTGACTTGAATTGACACTCACTCCTTTCAGGACTTTCACTAGACCTCCTTTCAGTGACTGGATTTGAATTGACTCTTCAAGTCATTTCAGAACTTTTACTTTCACTTCACCTTCACTTCAATATTCATTCAATGTTAACTGCCACTGTAGACAAATGTGCTGCATTAGTGCAGTTTTGTATATACTGTGGACTTACAGACAAATCAAACAAACTAATTCTCCCATCCCTCCTCTGGCTTCATTCTAGGCTCTTCAGGTCCACTCCGATCTTCTGGAGGAGGACACCAGCACCCCTGAGGTGGAGAGCCAGAGCCTGGACATCTCCTCCGGCACCTCTCAGGACGTCAGTCCCCGCCAGGCATCCCTCCCAGAGGAGGAGGAGAGCGCTAGCACAAGCGATTCCACCAACAGTGAGAGCTCCAGCACTCCAGAGGAAGAGGAGGAGGAGGAGAGCACCAGCAGCACCAGTGACAGTACCAGCACCAGCGAGGAGTCAGAGGACAAGGAGAGCCAGAGCAGTGAGGAGGCCACAGCCACGCCCGGAGCAGCTGACAGCGAATCAGATGAGAGTGATAGCACTGAGGGTGACTCAGAGGAGGGGGTGCAACCTGAGACCATCACTGCCAAATAAGCCCCACCCATCCAGGAAATGGAGTGGTCATGTCAGAGAGATTCGTATAAAGAGTGCATGCTGCATCCAGGTGCAACCCCCCCCCATGAGCCACTTTCCACTGTAGGGTCAAACAGGGACAGTCAGGGCTTAAATATTTTGATTTAGATTTGTTCTGCCAATAATTCTGTAATTACTTGTGCATCATATGAGAAGCAGAAACGCTTTTTGTTCTGGGTTATATTTAAATAAACCAATCACTCCTGCATCCTGTGGTCTAGTTGCCCTGGTAAATCCCATGTTTGACCCCATAGGGGAAAAGGTGGTCGATGTAACTTTATAGGATGTTGAAAGTGACGACTGCTACCTGCAACAGGAGGTTGACTGACCTCATGACCTTTGCCCCCTCCCCGCTCCCGTCTGTTGCTGCAGGGTAAAAGGTCAAAACTGGTAAAGAACAAGGAAACAAATACGGTTGAGTCCTGATGTCTACACTAGCAAAACACTGCATTTAATCATTAATTAAAAACTGCAATATGCAAACCTACATTGTTTACGTGCTTATAAAATAAGAGAGAAAAGTGCACAGTTTATTTAAATACTATTCAAGTATAATACAATTTAAACTTGACATCAAGCCATACATTTGCTGCCTGTGTGGCTTAGCTTTGTTGCTAGCTTGTATTAAATCTGCTGGTGTAGATAAAAGGATGTAAACAAAGAGAAACTCACCATCCAGTACAGGGTTCAATCAGGTATAGATGCAGTACACACACACACACACACACACACACACACACACACACACACACAAACAACACAGTCCTGTTCATTTGCACAGTTCCTACCTACACTACATGTCGTTTGTCCCATGTTGTTTACTGTAATGTATCATATTGTACCATTTCTAAAATATTAATAAAGTTCTTTTTCATAAAAATAGTACGGGTTGTTTACATTTGTTTTAGATGTAAAGACAAGAATGGTGGCTGAGAATATAGATATAGAAATATAATAATAATAATAGCACAATATCATCTGCAAAGTCTAAATCATCAAGTCTAGATGTGACATCTATATCTGATATTGTGCTGCTCTCCTCCTCTAAACAGTAGATACAGGACAAGATGAATAAGCTGAATAAGGAACAACATAAAGAGACAGCGATGACGAGAATCATCTCCAGAAACCAAGACAAAATAAATTTTGAGGGACAAGATGTAGATGAGGTTGAACCTGGGAGCTATAGTCTGTAAAGAACGAGATGGTATGACGGACTTAAAAAAATGAATTTGTGAGATTAAAGATGATCTGGAGATCTAACAACATATCGAGAAGAACTAAACTGAAACTGTCTGAGCTGCAATTACATGGGTGTGAAATGTGGAAAATGAATAAAGGGTATGACAAAGGAATAAATGTCTTTCAAAATGAGTGCCTTAGACAAATCCTACAAATCCACTAGGAAGATCATGTGAGTACTGATTAAGAATGCGGGTATGAAACCACTGGGCGCAGGAATGGAAAATTGATTGTCCACATACTTCGACAGGATTGAGACAACCATAACAACGTAGCGTAGAGGTGGACTAAAAACCTCGTGGAGACGTTCAGTGGAGAAAGAGCAGAAATAGGCGGGTTGGAATTCATGGGACGAAGCACGAGTGATTGCAGCAGACTAGAAGAGATGGAGATAATCTGTGAAGGCCTTATGTGCCACAAGGCACGGAGGAGACAGATGATGATAGTCGCAGCATGCAACTCTCATCATAGTTGTTTCCCCCTTGTTATAGTCTTTATATTAATAAAGACTAATATTACTCGTCGGTACAGATATCTAAAGTGCCGGTACACCAGAACTGGCCCTAGCACTGAAGACAAGGTTACAAAACACTTGTACATTGTTCACAGTCTTTGTCTAGACTGCTGTAATAAGTGATGACCTACAAAAATATGTGTGTTGATTAGGAACAGGGACAGAATGATTCTGCTGCAGAGTGATGTGGCAAGACAAGGACACAATTACCAGAACACATTCTAATCAGTGTATTATTTAAATGTTGATATTGGAAGTAATATTAGGTTAAGTAACAATTGATGCTTATGTTTTAGGTGCAATCTTGAACTGAACCTGCCCTACACATGTAAAAAGGTCTTACCTAGTGACCTCTATAGGTAGAACTGCACAGAACAACCAGCTATATGGGAGTGATTGTTACAGAAATCTCATACTGAGGCACCTAGTTCACCTGTTAAAGTCCTCCCTTCTGTCAAACACTATAGAGACACATTTCTGACTGATTACAGGCTTCATGTCGTCTGCGACCCCAGACTGCAGCACTGAAACAGTCTTTCTTTTTCTGTGACAACAGTGATGTAAGTGATTTATGTTCAGTTGTGCACAGACAGGCCACAACCTGATTTATTATCCCTTCTGAGAAAACAGAGACAGACACAGTTTGGAGATGTAAAGCAATGCAGATTATCATGCTTTTACCATGCTAGGCATGTTTGTCCTATTATAATCATAATAAAAATAATAATTATTATATGATATGTAGCCATTTTGCTACAATTACGCTTCACACAACAGCTGCTGTGTTTATGACCTGACCTTTCTTTATTCCGTGAGAGGGAAGAATTTAGAAAGTTGTGTGATGCTGTGTTGAGCCCTCAGCTGCAGTAGTGCATGGACCATGTGTAATATTCATTCAGCCAGAGGAAACGATCAGGAACTGTTAACAGCACGTCAGTCGTACTAGTGACACAACCCGTACCAGAGAGGGAGTGGGGCGGTGGAGCGCACAGGGTCCGGGACAGGAGATCACGGAGCGACCGGCCTGCTGCGGACGTTCTCTCTGATCGTTCTCTCTGGCTGGATGAAGTGAGGCTCCTGATTTTACGCATGGATATATGACGAAAGAGAAATATAGAAATTAATGGCAATAAAGCATGCTGTATTATTATAGAGACCCCATAAAATATCACAAATCATGCTTTTAGGAGAGCTGATGTCTTATTAAGAGCAGCTAAGCTCCCCCTGGCTCCCCTGTATTCCGCACCCTGGGTGTGTGGATTTGGGAATGTTTGTAGCTGTGCAGAGGGTTTGGTTTTGTGTTATGCTATCCATCCATCCATTGTCAACCACTTATCTTGCGTACAGGGTCGCGGGGAAAGCTGATGCCCCCCCCCCATCCGTCCCGGGCCGTAGTAGGATCGGCTTCGAAGCGTCGATGGGCGGAGTCTGATTCGACTGTCTCACAGTCGAAGCTTTGCAGCAAAACAAAGATCATGCCATTTTGGCAATATGGGGTTGCTCAACGTCTGATTTTGCATAGAACTACCAGTTTTCTCCCACTAAGTAAGATACTTTATTGTGACATACAAGTTGCAAAATTCATTCTCTGCATTTAACCCATTGTAGTATCCCATATTTATGCATTTGACTCAGCACTGTAGCAGCAAGACAGAGGATGGCAAAGGAAGACATTGTGCACATGAAAAACATGCAAAGCAACAAAATGAATATTCTTCAACATATAGCCAAGCTTTTTACAGAAAATATTCAAATATAACCACATAAGCATTTTCTTAAGTAACTGTAATTTAACCACATTTCCTATTGACTGTAACAGATTACAGTTACATTTATTTTGAAATTAAATTACGTAACTAAATTACATGCAACTACTTACTCCCCAACACTGTTGACACTTTATGTTGTGGCCTACTTGGCGTCCTTCTTACATCTTATTTGAACTGGGTAAAGCTTTTTCTCCTTTGTGTCTGACGACCATCTTTAAGGATCCGAGGATTCAGATCTTTATATGTCACATAAACAAACAATGTAATGAAATGCATTGTTGCATGCTCCCGTGGCTGTGCTATAAGACTAGTGTAAACAATAAGAAAAAAACAATATCGTTGTTGTGGTCTGACCTTCTCTTTCTGGTTCAAGACTTGAACAGCTTTGTAGCCTCGCTCAGACCTTTAAAATGTGTTATTTCTCAACAGGATTTATTGAAATGGTGTCGATCCCTGCTGCCCGCTTCTTCACCTCGGCCTTCAGGGAGGGCTGCTGACAGCCCATCCAGCATTGGAAATGAGCCTTAGTTTAGCTTTTATGTAGATGACTAAAATAATAACAGCATAATAGGCTAATTACTATATTTATTCATGAGTCATAGTGAGAGATGTGTTATTCTGCAGTGGGATTTGAGACATGAAGAGCTGATCAATAAATCAAGTGTATAAAAACAGTCGCTTGTGTTCAGAGAAAAAAAAAAGACAAACAATATTTAGGAATTTAATGGACCTACCACAGTGTAGTGCTCACCTCAGGGTGTGGTTTCTAATTTAAAGCACTCTGGTCACTGAAAGAGAGAGCTGTATTCACTGACTGAGTGTCACTGAGAGTCCATCCATGTTTCCATATCAGATATTGTAGTATATATACCCTACCGGTGTATATATATTTTTCTAGTTTTTATTGAAATATTCGTAGCTCAAAACAGCCTGTATAATACACTACTGAAGCTTTATTGGTACAATAAAATGGAGGAAGAAGTAATTTTCATACTTAATTAAAAGTACAGATACCACACGAAGTCATCCAGCATAAGCCTACTGAAGTAAAAGTAAGAAAGTACCTGGTTTTAAAAATACTTAAGTAATCAAAAGCAAAAGCATCAAAATCTATTGATCTTACAAAACACAATCTATCTTTTTAAATTCACTCAAGGCAGGTTTGAATATAGAATTATAAGTTACAGTGAATCACAACAAGGAAAACTGAGTTGCAAGAGGACAAGTGCATATTTCCTGTATGTGGGGAGGATAAGGCTGCCTTATTGCTCTGCTGGTGTGGTAGTATCCCCTTCAGACCGTCTGACAGACACAGAACCCCATTTGGGACTTTGGGAATGTAACAGAAACCAAAACTAACTGAAACACCTCTTAATTCACAATCTCACCAAAAACCCACACGTTACCTTCATCACCTTTCATAAGTGCAGCTCACAGTCCCACACAGAGCAAAGTTGGCTTCAGTTTTTAGATGTTTATATTGCAAAACTCTACCAGCTACGTTACCACTCGGTCACTGACTGTCTGGACTGACGCCACAAATGTTTCTTGCTGCGTGACTTTAATTTCTTGCACGCGCATATGAACACATTTCCACATGCAACACGGTCATATTTCCGAGCTGCAGTTTATAAACATCGTGGCCCGTCGGCATTTATCAAACGTAATAAATAGTTGCATTTCACTGAACTTTGTTCAGTCACAGTCTGGCAACCAAAACAAGGCAGACAAGAGCTGAGAGATTGACTGCAGCTGCACATTAGGCTACGTGGGATCTACATCAGACTGGAGAGGAGAGAACACATGTTTACTTGACTGCTGTTCCCGCACTTCACTCTCATTGAGTTTCTTAGAACGATAGACCTTCATCCTCTCATCGAAGTTTTAAACATTCACGTTCACCTTTGGCAGGAAAGTGAGGCGGGGTTTATCAGTTTACATTTGTTTTTCAGTTCTGCTCCACTCAGGTCTGCATAGGCTACTAATACCAATGTAACGAGGTCTGGTGCAGAATGTGACTTTGAAATGTAGCAAAATGAAAGTAAAAAGATGTAACAACTACAAATACTCAATTAAAGTACAGATACTGAAAAAACTACTTAAGTACACATTCCACCACTGAATGAATCCTACAGTGAAATAATGACCAAAACTCCTTAATTTAATTGTTAATTTTACAACAATAACAATGTCGATGATGAAGTAAACATTGTTTACAGCAGTTTGCTGCTTACTTTTGTACCATTTAGGGTGCTTCACTGGACTTGAATTCTTCTATTTTAATACCAACTAGAAAAATGGGGGTGTTCAGAAACTTTGAACGATCTTTATATGTATCTTTATTGTAAATGCTTCTTTGGATTGTATTGCAAAGCCATGGTAGCATAGCATTCATTTCTCTTGCTCTCTTCTGGTTTCAGGCTTTCCATCAGATGTTGGAACTTGGCTTTAGGGATTTGCTCCCTTTCACAGACACAAGACCATTAGTAAGGTCCAATACTGCTGTTGGTTAATAAGGCGTGGCTCACAGTCAGTCAAGTTCTTCCACAAGACCATGTCTTTATGGACCTGGCTTTGTTCACATAGGCAGCCAGAAACCAATTTGAAATACCCATGGTAGACATAGACTGTAATAAATGGGTTTTGCCACTAGATGGGGCTATGTCATTGAAATGCCATTTGCAAGTGCTTTGTGTACACCCATCTTGCCTTGAAAACTCCTAGATAGATTTTTAGACTTGAGTTCAAGGGAGTGGATTTGCAGCGATCAGAGCTTGTTTTTTGGTATTTTCATAATTGGAAAACATCTTCTATATCATGGGGCAGTATTCCAGGCAGTATTCAATGTTACAGCATGTTGACCAGGTACAGCATGCTATTTTTGTTAAGGACACTTATGCATAGTCTGAACCATACATGAGTTTGAGCGGTGACATTCACAGTGCAGGACAATATGTGAATATATGAATATGAATTGCCCACTCACTGCTATGAAGTACAGAAGATGATGTTCTGCTGTGACCTTAAATGGTCAGTTCATCCAGAATTCATTAAGACAGTTTCTCACTTAACCTGGCAGAGAGTTTGGCTGTATGTGTCCAGGCTTTGAGATATCCACCAGATTTCATAGGAACCTTTTCTTTGGCCGGACGTAGTTTAAATAAAAACAGTGCCTGTGGATTATCCATAGTAATGGGGGGATTGTTTCTGGAAGTATATGTTGCTGTTAATAATTTTAATTTAATTTGTCAATGCTGTGATCTGTCCATCTTACAGTATATCGCAAACCAAAATTATATGCATGGCTAGATACCACCAGAGGTAACAGTAAAATTTCCTTATAAATCTGGCTCTCAACTTTATCTAAATTGAACCCCCCCCCACTTCATTCCTTATGTACAGTAGCAACCACGGACTGTATAAAAGAAGTTCGACGTTTGCATCAGTTTGCTGACTGGAAGCTTCCGCTTAGTAGCAAAATATTTATGTGAAGAAAAGAACATCCTCTTCCTCAGTTTCTAAACTACTGGGTTGAGACCCCATGTGGGGTCACTTCTTAATGAGAGATTTATAAGACTGATATAGTTATGATTAACATTAAAATATATTACATTTATCTGACAATTTTATCCAAAGCGACTTACAATTGCTGCTGTTGTCAGAGGTCGCACGCCTCTGGAGCAACTAGGGGTTAAGTGTCTTGCTCAGGGACACATTGGTGGATGCATCACAGTGGGAAATGAACCCAGATCTCCCACACAAAAGGCAAGCATCTTATCTATGGGCCATCACTAGGTCAAAAAGCACAATGTTAAATTCATATTCCCATTACTGAACCTAGGGATAATCAAAACTTTGTTTTTCAGAAACATTTAAGCTCTAATCAGTAACTCAATCTGCTTAAAGCTGGCAACATTTGAGAAACTCGCAAGAGACATCTAGACTTTGAAAGTATCCAACTGAAAAAAACCCACCCCCTCCCTTCAGGGATCCCTCTAACGCCACTCCTCCAAAACGATTTCTTATGTGCCGTGACTGTGTGCAGGTAGGCAGGTTCATTCGGACCAAATTAAATTATGCTTATTACAGTCCGACGACAGCCAAAGATACTAGATATTTTTTTTCTCACTTTTGTGTCAGAGCAATTGATTTATTGTTGTTGGGATGTCAAGAGAATTTCAACAAATATTACAAAAAGATATTCTGAAATAAATTAAGGAATCTAATGAATTTTCAAACATAGCAATTTCATTTTTGTTTAGATACTTTATTTGTCTTCAGAAGAAAAAACAATAGTTCTCAATCAATCAATTATGCACATTAGATCCAGCTCAACAAAATGAAGTACAACACATGTTAAAAGATAACAAACCGACAACATTAAGGTGTTGTCTGGGGCCCTCTCAACCATGTTTAATTTGGGAAAATATGAATTCACAACCCATAATTAAAGCCAACCCACCGCTGCATAACTCACTCTTATTCAGCATGTACAAACAACAGGCGAGACAAGACAAGACAAACAGGACACACCCTGCACTCTATAAACACACTGCTGTGGGACACATACTCTGGATGCTTCATGCAGAAGGGTGACTTATTGTGTATGTGGTGGACATTTTAAACTATTTGTTTTAACAAGCATGTGCTGTAGGAGCTACACTTTCCAGAACAAAATCCTTATAAAATACTAAAAATTTAAAACAAATACTTTGAATAGTATGTAAGGAGCAGAAACACTGAAATTGGCGCACAGGAAGAAATCAACCAAAGGATCCTACCTGTACTTTTCTGACCAGTTAACACTTTAAGGTAAACATGACTGAGCCACAGATTTGTTTATGTTATGTAACAGTACGTAAACACATCTAAGTTGTTCTGTAGTGTCACAATACGGTGGCTGAAAAAGGCCCCTGGGGAACACTAATGAAAGTGGAAATTAGAATCTTTGGAAGAGAATAGCGTTAATAAAAGTGTATCATCATAATGCCACATTAATTAGCCTGTTGTTTTAAATAAATATTACTACTTGTTGTTGATCAATCTGTGGTGGAAGATGCCCATTAATTCTGCTGCAGCACATGATAAGAAATTAAGAAGTAGAACACAAAATGGCCTAAAAATGACATGCTTTAAGAGAGGGGTTGCTCAAAACTCCTAAAAATTGACTGTTCTTTCTAGAAGTTGAGTTCCTGTAACTAGACTGAGAAATCCTGGAAAAGACACATTTTTAATAGCATAGCATAGTTGTTAGTTGTTGTTTGCAGTTGGTTAAGAGGAGTGGCATTTGCTTAGTTGTCTCCTCTGTTTTCTGTAACAGGAGCTGGCGTTGGAATTTCCTTGGTAACACAATGAGTCACATTGCTGGGTGATGTGACAACAACATCTGTGGTGGGTACTGTTGGTGGAGTCGTCACAGTAATAGTTGGCTCATCTGTGCTCGCTGTGTCTGGTTCAGGGGTGAGGGTACTCCTGTCTGCCGTAGTGACGGTTATCATGGCAGTGGTGGGCACGACTACTGTTGTCTTATTGGTGATTATATCTTCCTCAGAGGACTCCAAAGATTTACTTTTTGAGGATTCACTAGATTCATGTGAATTCGGTGACTGATCCGAATCTGAAGAAGAATCTTTGGAGTTGGACGATTCAGTGAACCGCCAAGACCGCCATTCCTTGAGCTTGTCATTTTCAGTGATGTCAGCATCATGGTGCCGATGCCAGCCAATCTGTGGAAGGATTATTAATTAAAAGAGACGTTACACTTAGATTCTGTCAAATAAAGTCCACAATCCGTCTGATCTCCCAGCCCAGTATGTTTAGATATTACGTTTATATTGGACAATTCTACAGCACATCATTTACGTACAGGCAGAAAGTTAATGTTTTTTTAAACTGTAATCACAATGTTTTCCACACCTTAACCAACGTTAAACCATATCATTTTTTGCCTTTTTTAACAAGCATTCATAGTGCTGGTGATGTGCCGTTAGCAGTTAAAGACATCTGTCCCAACATCATCAGTTGAAACCAAAAATGCAGCCCCATGGGGAACACTTACAGTGTGCTATTATGGCAGAACAATAAATGGAACCTAGATTTTTCTATTTTACTTTTGAGAGTTGCAAAATTGATCTCTGTGTTTTTTGTAAATTAACAGTCACAATAAACATAACTCAACGTAATATGTAATAATAAAGTTAAAATAGTTCAGTTAATGTCTAAAACATATTGTGCCCTACTAGAGGTTACAATGTTACAACTCATGACAGGGATGTGTTGATTGAAACAATAATACAACATAACCTAAAATAACAATATGAATCAGGTATGTATTGAAAGCAGGTATGTAATCAACAACAGCAATGCGGTAGTGTGGTTGACAGAGGAAACTCAACGTAAACAGCGAATAAACAATTCATAAACAATTCATACACTATCATAATAAATAGAGGATTTGAACCAGACTATATCAGATATAATCTGTAATGTATTCATACTAAAAACGCTAAAAGACTTCGGCTGTTAGAGTGACAAAACACAAAACACAACAACAGAAAAAGTGATGCGCAGCCAGTGAGAGCAGTGAGGAAGGAGGAATGAGGGAAGATTCAAATGCAGCTTTGCGGTGAGCTTACCGGCTTAGCGGAGGCTGCTGTAAGAAGTACAATGACAAGAGCGGTTGTCAGAAGCTCCATCTCTAATTGGTTCTTGTCTGCGAAGGAGGGAAGCCACAGAAATAAATAAAGTAACAGTCACTTACACACAGACAGAAACAAGGCAGTGTCAGAGTCTTGGCTTATGAATCAGATTTACTCTGGAGAATTGCATTAATCCCTACTATTGTTAATGTATTTTTAGAGAGATAAATATTTGAATACTGATAAGTTATAAGTTGCTCATAATCCCAATATCCAATAAAACACAAATAAAAATCTACAGTAAAACATTTGAATAAATGAAAAAACTTACCAGATTTATGTGGCAGCAGGTGTCTCTAGTTTGTTGTAATTTCTCTTTAATTCTGTATAAGATCAATGGGATTCTGTTCAGCTGTGACCTCCATGCAGGACTGGCTGCTGCTCATATATGGTCCCTGGACAGAGAGGCTGGGCTGGGCTGTGACGGGCAGAGGGCCGGGGGCAGGATTAGGCAAGACTGGATTGCCTGGGGCTAGAGTTGTGGGGAGTGGCAGGAGAGGAAGTTTTACAAACTTACAGATCATCCAAATGCTGAATCATTGGCAATATTATTTTATTTAGTTTCATGAGTAATGTATTTTTTTGGCAAATAAAGATTTTTTTTTATAGATATTTTATTTGGACAAACACTTACTGCTTTTAGAACTTCTTGAAAACTTGGATTCTTACAAGGTGGAAATGGGTGGACAAAATGCCACGAGCAAGCTAGATAAGCTAGTTACAAGCTAATAATCTTACATCAGATACCTTTGTGTACCCCAGCATGTCAGAGTGGTGCATGATTCAGCTCATTATAGTTTGTGGTGATTGTTAATGTGACCAAGAGTGTGTCATCTGCATATATGTAAAAGACAGGACAGGAGGATCAGCTCTGAGAGTTATTTATGTAGACTGTATAGAAACATAGGGCCACAGCTGGTGTGCAGTAATGTGCCATCAGGGGAATGTTACAGTAAACTTTGGTCTAAACAGTGTGTGTGTGTGTGTGTGTGTGTGTGTGTGTGTGTGTGACACTACATTAGTTAATCTCTCTGAAACTAACCCCCTCCTCGCTTCCTCTCTCTTCTCATCACAAAAATTACACAAACACCTCAGGATGAGTCATCTTAGAAGTTAAGAACACCTTAACGATACCTATCCCTAACAATTCTAAATAAATGTGAGACCTCACACAGAACCAAAACTGACACAGGAACCGTGGCAACCAGGGTAATCATTAACAATAAACATAGATATGGTTTTTATGTCTTTTAACAACACACCTTCTCAAGTCCCCCTGATCGATACCTCTACTCTCACTCTCCATCATCTTACCAGGGAATAAAATAAAATAAAAATAAATAAATAATATATTAACGACAAATAAAAAAATATATATTAAAAAAACAATATATAATAATAGAGAGGAGGGGATGAAGCAGGGAGGAGAAGGGAGGCAGAAAGAGACATTTTATTCAATGAAGAGTAGTGCTTTGCTGTTTGTGTGAATTTTAGGAATAATGCACCTCTAAAATAACAAAACACAGTGAAATACTGCTCTGGGTGCAAGATAGGGCCCCTAGTCTTCATTATATCCACTATTTCCGAGGCCCACTAGGCCTCCCACAATACATTAGTGTGCTACAAACATCACCACAGTTTCCAAGGTACCAAACTGCATTGAGAAATGGAAAATGAGAAGTGTCCCGTATGTGTAGTTTTCTATCTGTTACAGTTGTTTCATTTATATAATTTGTTTCATTTATATCATAACGCAATGACATGCATATTAACACATCATTGGATGCTTGTGGTTCGATCCCACACTCCCCCAGTCTGCATGTCAAAGTGTCCTTAGGAAAGATACTGAACCCCAAATACACACACACACACAAAGTATATCCATCATAATCACAACAAACACACTGCATGTCTCCTACAGCCTGAGACATAATCCCACTTCCTACTGTGAACACAACCTTATTGACGGATCACATGTAAAAGTCTTACAAGTTCAGACAATCTGTTCTGAATCAGAGTCAGAAATAACTGGAAACAGTTTCAACCACTTTATCCAGTCATTTAGGGGAAGATCCTAACTCTTGTAATTTATTACTGTCATCCAACCACAGTCTTTTCTGAGGTGTGGTCATGTACAGGAAGTGCTCGTTTAAGTCCTCCTGATCGATACCTCTACTCTCACTCTCCCTCATCTTACCAGGGAATAAAATAAAATAAAATAAATAAATAATATATTAACGACAAATAAAAAATATATATTAAAAAAACAATATATAATAATAATAGAGAGGAGGGGATGAAGCAGGGAGGAGAAGGGAGGCAGAAAGAGACGTTTTATTCAATTAAATTTTACAATCATTTTTAATATATATATATACAGTGAGGAAAATAAGTATTTGAACCCCCTGCTATTTTGCAAGTTCTCCCACTTAGAAATCATGGAGGGGTCTGAAATTGTCATTGTAGGTGCATGTCCACTGTGAGAGACATAATCTAAAAAAAATCCAGAGATCACAATGTATGATTTTTTAACTATTTATTTGTATGATACAGCTGCAAATAAGTATTTGAACACCTGTCTATCAGCTAGAATTCTGACTCTCAAATACCTGTTAGTCTGCCTTCAAAATGTCCACCTCCACTCCATTTATTATCCTAAATTAGATGCACCTGTTTGAGGTTGTTAGCTGCATAAAGACACCTGTCCACCCCATGCAATCAGTAAGAATCCAACTACTAACATGGCCAAGACCAAAGAGCTGTCCAAAGACACTAGAGACAAAATTGTACACCTCCACAAGGCTGGAAAGGGCTTTGGGGAAATTGCCAAGCAGCTTGGTGAAAAAAGGTCTACTGTTGGAGCAATCATTAGAAAATGGAAGAAGCTAATCATGACAATCTCCCTCGGACTGGGGCTCCATGCAAGATCTCACCTCGTGGGGTCTCAATGATCCTAAGAAAGGTGAGAAATCAGCCCAGAACTACACGGGAGGAGCTGGTCAATGACCTGAAAAGAGCTGGGACGACCGTTTCCAAGGTTACTGTTGGTAATACACTAAGACGTCATGGTTTGAAATCATGCATGGCACGGAAGGTTCCCCTGCTTAAACCAGCACATGTCAGTTTGCCAATGACCATTTGGATGATTCAGAGGAGTCATGGGAGAAAGTCATGTGGTCAGATGAGACCAAAATAGAACTTTTTGGTCATAATTCCACTAACTGTGTTTGGAGGAAGAAGAATGATGAGTACCATCCCAAGAACAGCATCCCTACTGTGAAGCATGGGGGTGGTAGCATCATGCTTTGGGGGTGTTTTTCTGCACATGGGACAGGGCGACTGCACTGTATTAAGGAGAGGATGACCATGTATTGCGAGATTTTGGGGAACAACCTCCTTCCCTCAGTTAGAGCATTGAAGATGGGTCGAGGCTGGGTCTTCCAACATGACAATGACCCGAAGCACACAGCCAGGATAACCAAGGAGTGGCTCTGTAAGAAGCATATCAAGGTTCTGGCGTGGCCTAGCCAGTCTCCAGACCTAAACCCAATAGAGAATCTTTGGAGGGAGCTCAAACTCCGTGTTTCTCAGCGACAGCCCAGAAACCTGACTGATCTAGAGAAGATCTGTGTGGAGGAGTGGGCCAAAATCCCTCCTGCAGTGTGTGCAAACCTGGTGAAAAACTACAGGAAACGTTTGACCTCTGTAATTGCAAACAGGCTACTGTACCAAATATTAACATTGATTTTCTCAGGTGTTCAAATACTTATTTGCAGCTGTATCATACAAATAAATAGTTATAAAATCATACATTGTGATCTCTGGATTTTTTTTTAGATTATGTCTCTCACAGTGGACATGCACCTACGATGACAATTTCAGACCCCTCCATGATTTCTAAGTGGGAGAACTTGCAAAATTGCAGGGTGTTCAAATACTTATTTTCCTCACTGTATATATCATATAGGTGTTTTATGTGTTAGGTGTTTTAGAAGTGTTTTAGGGTAGAATACACTATTCTATTATGTGTGGATGTTCATGGTGGTGACATACATAACAGACACAAAAGTACTTGGTGAAAAAAAACAAACAAACAACTGTGCAGCAACAGCATGTTGGATGTTTAAGGCAATTTGTGTATGGGTGTGTGTGTGTGTGTGTGTATGTTCAAGAGGTAGAAAAATGGAGGTGGTGTGGGGGAAACTGAGTTGGGAAGTATAGAGATAAAATGCTTTGAACTTAAAAATAAATAAAAATAATAAAAGGTGATTAAGGAGGGGGCAGCAAGAATATAAAAATAATATATATATAAACACCTATAAAGAAATAAGACATTGTGTGTGACAATGTGACATCAGAAATAAGACAGGTCTATGTGCATAAGACAAAAGAGAGTTAACATCAACATCAGCACAAGCACAGGTTTGTGTGCTGTACACTATCACATAATGACCTTCAGAGCCTTCAGAGTGGTAGTTTTTATTGCAAAGGCCCATTGTGTCTAGTTGTTGCATTTTATCTGGTCTGAGTGCAGGTGCTTGCAACAATTTGTTAAAATCCATACAGGCCCTATTGTCCCTCAGTCAGACATGAGAACAAATTAATTAACAGACAAATTAATTCTAAATTACGGTCTTTGCCTGAGCCTCTGATAGCAACACTGTTCAACTGGCGGATGTGTGTGTTTTTGCAAAAAGTGTAGTATGAGTGTTTTTGTGAAGTCTATGTGTTCTTACAAAAATGTGAAGGCCAGAGAGCAACAAGCTGAGTGAGTGTTTCAGTGCATCTTCCAATAAACACCTCATACATTATTCTAATAAACTGTCAGGATTTCTTAAAGAGAACCCAGAAGCAGACCGGAGACAGAGAGCAGTTCAGGATGTTTATTACAGGGAACAATGGGTGGATGGTAAGCAGGGTTAGAGAGGGTGGCGGGCAGGCAGGGAACTTGACAAATTCCTGGAGTCGGTCTTGAGGGGCAGGTCCTTGGTAGAAAGCCATACCTTGTCTCCTACGGTGTGCTGTGGGGCAGGCGTGCGGTGGCGGTTGGCAAAATGCTGGTATTGCTCGGAGGACCTGAGCATCGCAGCCCGGGCGCGGTGCCAAGTCCGGTGACATCGTCTGATATGGGCTTGGACGGAGGGAACTGCCAGATCCCTCTCATGAGAGGGAACAGAGGGGGTTGGTAACCATAGAGACACTGGAAAGGGGACAAACCTGTGCCTGCTGGTAGGCAGGGTATTGTGGAGCATACTCCACCCAGGGGAGTTGTGAGGACCAGGTGGTAGGGTTAGTGGAGACCAAGCAACGGAGGGCAGTCTCCATCTTCTGATTGGTCCGTTCTGCTTGACCGATAGACTGGGGATGATAACCAGAAGA